AGAGACAGGAAAATTTCACTAGAAACAAAAAAAAGAAAAACGGACTGTTAAGTGATATCTGTCCTCCTATTTGACAGTGAATTCTGGAAAATCTACTTAAAGATGAAGATGAGAGGATGAAGCAAAAGAAATGTGGTTCTACAGACGGATGCTGAGGATACCATGGACCAATTATGTGAGTAACGACGATCTTTTAAAGAAAATGGAAACCAAAAGGAAACTTATACTTAACATCAAGAAAAGGCAATTGAAATTTCCATGGCACATAATGAGGAAAGAGGGCTTGGAAAATATGATATTCCCAGGACAGATTGAAAGCAAGAGGGATTGAGGAAAACAAAGCATAGAATACTTTGTGTTCTTCTTGTTGACTTAAATCATTTAATAATACTGCATGTCCTTGGCTGCGGGTAACTCGTTCCTCAGTTTTTTTTCGGTGTCGGCTTCATTTTTACTTTCTGGAGCTTGTTTTTTACGTATATTGTCGGTGTTACCCACTCAACTTTTTAAAATACACCGGTTTTCTCTCATCTGTCCAATTCTTTATCTATCTGTTCAATTGAAGCAAACGGCAAATTCCTTTTCTTTTTGAATACCGCCTGAGCGTTTTGTTTTGGCTGTAATTTTGCCTCCATCTTGGTACACGTTCCCAAACCTTGAGAAAAAACAGTAGGAAATGTTCCCTTAAGTTTCCTTACTAATTTCTGGGCTTCGTAGTTTAAATTTTCTACCTTGTAACAGAAAGAATTTATCGGTAGATCCCATAATTGGAATTCTGTTATCCAATCCGTACCAAGTAAGTTCGTGGTATTTTCTATGACAAATAGTTTAGCTTTTCGCGTTTTTTTATTTAACGTGACGTTTGTAACAAATTCTCCAATAAATTGTATTTTTTCTCCCGTCACTGACCTCGCGATTTTCTTTGTCTTCATTAAAGTTGGTTTCCCCAACTTCTTCCACGTATGCAAATTTATGATAGATAGGTCGGAACCAGTGTCGAGTTGCATTTTTATTTTTTTATTATTTATTTCGACGGTAACAAATTTTCTGGTTATTCCATCGTTCAACTCGTCGGACTTTAATTTTCTTATTTTATTGTCTTTATTTTTTGACCTGCAGTGCGAGCTTTTATGCCCCACTCTTTTACAGTTGAAACATTTTTTTATTCCTAAAATTGCAATATCTGTACCAGTGAAGTTCACCGCAAGCAAAACATGGCTTTGTTTTCACATACAGCTTGCCTCCAAGCAGGATTGTTCATAACCATTTTCGATTCTCACCCGTCGAAGTGCAGTTGAAATGCACTGAAACGAAGTTACAACTTTGTAGTGAGTAAAATGGTTTTGTCTATATGATAAAATTATAATAAATAAATAATTATTGCTCTACTATTGGTATCGAGCCCTCTTTTGGATTAATGCTGTGAACGTTGGAATTTATATAGTACTTTCGTTCTCATCACATCGGATATACACACACACACACACACACACACACACACACACATATATATATATATATAATGAGAAAGAACATTAAGATTTATTTATGTTTTTATTAATCATATTTTTTAAAAAAACTTGCTCAATACAATTCTGTAGAACATAAACATTATAAATTTACTAATTTAAAAAATATGATTTCCATCGCTACACAGGATTTACCTTGTTTCAAAAACAGAAACTAAAACTTTAAATTTAATTATTGAATTAAATCGTTTGAAAATAAAACATTAATAGGGATTTTCATTTAATTCTATAATTAAATTTAAAGTTATAGTTTCTGTTTTTTGAAATATGGTAATTCCTATGTAGTGATGGGACAATATCTTTAAATTAGTAAATTTATATATATATATATATATATATATATATATATATATATATATATATATATGTATGTATGTATGCATGTATGTATGTATGTATGTGTAAGGGAACATTGAAGTCAACACCCACAGGCGACAGTCTGTTTCGTCAAGCTATGATTGATTGATTTATGACTGGATAAGCTCATGGCGAGTTCTACGTCAATTATATATCCGTAGAAATTCCGCTATCACATCACTAAATATTCGAGCTGAACAAAATGTTGCTGTAACAATCATAGATATGAATGCTGGTCGTTGTTTTAAGAAGTAAGGGGGTACAAATGAAAAGAGTAAAAATTGTCAACTTTTAACATTTCACTGAAACAGACGTTAAACAATTCTATCTTCTCTATTTATTTATGAGGTATTGACAGGACATAACGGTCGTGCGTACTAACGTGTAAGAGTGCAAATATTTCCGTGGTTCTCTTCATTAATTGTCTAAGAATGAGAAGGAATTACAAGCGGATGATGATGTGAGAGGCAGAATCTAGTTCTTATTTTAATGAAGCGTCCCTAAAAATGATTTATTTTAATCTCAGCAGGCGACAATTACAATCTGGGCCCTATTATTTTAGTTTATATTTGGTCACTCTACAATTGCTACAGTTTCCATATAACCCAGAACTTCTTGCCGCATGGTCGGTTATCGGCGACTAAACCGGTTCTCTCACCAGGCTTGGCTGGGGAAGAGGGTGACTAGACACTCAACAGGATTTAAAACTAGAGCCGTTAAAGGAATGATAAACATTCTTGTAGGCTCTCAAAAGCCATCAAAACACAAATTGGCATAGACTGGGTTCCATAGTTATGGATTGGATCGCTAGGGGGAGCAATCCCCGGGGTGGTTCTCCAAGAACAAACGGTCACGTGTTCGTGAACAAAAGGAGCCTTCAAGGTGGAGCCTTTTACTGTAGTATCATTTACTGTAGTATCTGAGATGAGATTTCAAATTATTTGAGATGATTATTCAGTACACTATTTAAATTGTTCGGACTATTGTCCTCATCTTTGTCGCCATATTTATTACAACGTTTCGGCCCTTCAGTATCTGTCTATATTTCTGAGATGAGGTATTATGTACACTATTTACATTGTTCGGACTATTGTCCTCATCTTTGTCGACATATTTATTACAACGTTTCGGCCCTTCAGTATTTGTCTATATTTCTGAGATGAGATATTATGTACATTATTTACATTATTTGGACTATTGTCCTCATCTTTGTCGTCATATTTATTACAAGGCTTCGGCCCTTCAGTATCTGTCTATATTTCTGAGATGAGGTATTAAGTACATTATTTACATTATTCGGACTATTGTCCTCATCATTGTAGCCATATTTATTACAACGCTTCGGCCCTTCAGTATCTGTCTATATCTCTGAGATGAGGTATTATGTACATTATTTACATTATTCGGACTATTGTCCTCATCATTGTAGCCATATTTATTACAACGCTTCGGCCCTTCAGTATCTGTCTATATCTCTGAGATGAGGTATTATGTACATTATTTACATTATTCGGACTATTGTCCTCATCTTTGTCGCCATATTAATTGCAACGTTTCGGCCGTTGTATGCTCCGGCCTTCAGCTGGTGGTTGGAATGTCGAACTGAACCCTTTATTTCGCTCCCTGGGGTAGACTGTTCTAGTTCCACATGCCATGTCTAATAGATGTCAGTTATCAATTATCTCCTGTTAATTCCCCTCTCCAAGTTCTCCACCGCCTTAACTGGATATTGAACTCACACTCTTTGGGTTCTGCCACTGGATCTAACCAACGCCTTTATCCACTGTGCTATGTGTCCTTGATAACTGATAATTGACATCCATTAAGACATGGCACGTGGAACAAGAACAGTCTACCCCAGTGAGCGAAATAAAGGGTTTCATTTCGACATTCCAACCATCTGAAGAAGGCCGGAGCGTACAACGGTCGAAACGTTGTAATTAATACTTCTCTGTCTTTCGACCCAGTTATGCGGAAAGAACTTATCTGAATCTCAGATGCGTAATGACCGATACGACCGACTATGGATGGTGATGATTTTAGAACAAGAGGTGCATCTTATTGGAATAGCACCTTAGAATATTTTGATCGTCGATAAAAATTCAATAAATCATGACAGTCTTTTCATCAATAAATGTTAAAAGTAGCAATCCACGCTTTTTTTATGATTATCTTTATCATTGTTTTGTTGTTTATGACAACGTTTTTAGCCAATCTATTTGCCGGCTCTTAATTTTGCATTAATTGTGAGAAATCAATGCTTTCAAACGGAAGTCGAACTCACGCACTCGCAACGTCAATACTGATTTAATTATGTATGAAGCGCTATTATAAATTACAGCTGTGGTTATCTAATTTCTGGACTTGACTGAACCTATTAAATAACAACAAAAGGATTAATATATTTTTTCTGTACACGAAACTAAATCTCTTCTATACTCTACACTACATTTAATTCAACTCTGGACATTTTTAATCAGTGAGTATATGGCTTTTGGGTCGAGTATATATAAAACTCTCTTTCTTCAGTGGTGGGAAATAATATGTCTTCCTAGCATATGATTTTTCCCACGCGTACATCTCCTATGCGCTGTTGGGTCCACCACAAGTTTAGGAGGTCAGAGACAGTGTATCGGATTAAACGCAGATCTGCACCCGGTGGCTAGAATGTTATCTCTCAGGTCGACCTGTCGTTGCACCTGGCTTCTCTGAAGGACACTATATTGAATAATATTTATATTTTTGCATAATTTTAGCATAGTGAATCACATACTATGATTTATTGAGGTAAAAAAAAGTATGGAAAAATGAAATAATTTTATTTCAAAAAATCCCCGATGCGTGATCTCGAAAAAAATTTAAACCTTAAATATTTTTATTCTTTTAATTAAAACCCCAAGTGACGAAGATGAAATCGAATTTTTCCGGCCTCTTAATACTTGTAAAATCCGTGCCAGCCTCTAAACAACGCAGATATCGAGTGATACGCAAATCTACTCAGAAAAAAAAAAAGTGTTTTCTCGATGTAAGTCTAAGCCGACGATCTTGCATACGGATACAAATCGAGGTAAGTTTTATTGTCCGAGTTTAATCAGGGGAGATCAAAGTTCCGAT